CTCTCTGTCTCTCTCTCTCGTCCTCCTTTCTATTTCTCTTTCTTTGTTGCTTACACTTTTTCTTTCTTTTCTATTTATCCATAAGAATATTAAAAAAAATCCTAAACCATAGAGAATTATCTAAAGGGCCGTCACTACTCACTTGTGTATTGGAGAGCTTTTAGATTGTAAGCTGCCTCCATCTAGGTAATGCACACAGAAAATTAGGACTCTAGTGATCCAAGAATTAGGTCAACTGGTGTCATTATCTCACCTGATATGGGTCAGTTTCTAAGCAGGTTTCTACGTGTTTTGTCAGCTCACTTATAGGGTTATTGGTGCAATGTCACAGCTTTAATTTTCGTGCTACTTATATCAGTGGACTTTGCCACCTGATTTGCTTTAATACAAACATCCCAATTGACAGATAAAAAAGATAAATGATTCGGAAGACAGATAAATGGATACATTGTTATAAATAGATAAAAAAAAAAGAAGCTAAACTGGCTGGGTGCCTTGGTTCAACAAACTGAAAATAGTGGCAGATAAAAATACTTGAGAGATAAGTAAATATTATACTTATTAAAAAAGGAACATTATTGTTTTAATTGCTTATTGTTGTGTATGTATCAGTTTGATATTGATTCTTGGATATTACAGAACTTGAAAAATTGGTGATGAGAAAAAAATGGTATAAGGTATGTCAGTTGGAAAAATCATAACTTTAGCCTTTAGAAAAATAGATGGAAAATAAGAGATGTTTTCATTTAAAATAAGCACCCCCTGTTCCAAAGTGGGGTCCTATAAGACTAGCTCACCCAAGAATCATTTCCTTTCCCTCTAGTCATGAAAGTAATTCTAATTAAGTTTTACAATATAAACCATTCATTGAACATGTTTCCAGCATTTGATAATCAAGATTGATCAAGAAAAAGAGTTTGGATTATGGCCACATCACATTGAAATAACAGTTCACATACAATCACTAAAATGAAGCAACATTGAGCCTGGTCAGTACCTAGATGAGAATACCATGTGCTGTAAGCTTGGATGTGCAGGTGGTGTAATGCATAATGACTCTGAGTTGGAAATCGGAGAGCTAAGTTCCAATTCCTGCTCGGTTCGTTATATTCACTTATGCACAAATACCCTCAGGAAAGGTATAAATCCACCTTTTCTCCCGCCAGCTATGGTTTAATCAATAAGATTTGTATCACTAAACCATTATTTCCCTACCAAAAATTCTTACACTCTAGAAATATATCCTGGCTTTAAGTAACCTGTAAAGGATTGATACACTGTAGAAAATGAAAAGAAAGAAAAAAATTGTTTTAAATAACAAAAAAAAAAAGAAGAAATTATTTCTTTTTATTTATGATTTTTTCTAATTTGGGAACTAGTTACTGATTGAGTGTTATAATTCACATAAATGCTTTAGCGTAAAATGCTTTTACTCACAGCCACACTGTCTTAAAGTTATCACACACACACACAGAGAAAACACACTAGCAACAAGCCTGAAAATAGTGAAAGCAGAATACTTAGTTGTATGCAAAAGAGGCATTCCATGTTGTGAGTTACATATTAGGGATGTTAAAATCAAACAGATACAGAAATTTAACCATCTGGCTAGTGTAGTGATTGACAGAAATCTAAAGGCACATAGAATTAGTAAAGTATGACATCCAGAAACTAAATAAATAAGAAGATAAGAAAATAACAAGGAAAACAAAGTGTGCTGAATTTCTATATAATATCTTATCTCCAATATGGCAGAAAATGCTGGATAATATTCTCAAAGATGATAAAGTGACAGATGTAGTTCTATCAATGAATTCTAAGAATACCATGGACTAAGCATGTGAGGAACGGGTAAGTTTTAATGAAAATCGAAACTAGAAGAAAACTTGGATGTGCAATCAGAGCTGTAATTGCTGGGATAAATAATAAGGAAAGAGTGCTTGGAGAATTTAATATTCACAGGACATCTTGCAAAGGGTGGGGGGAACAGTAACATACTGAAGAGGTTTGAGTGACTGGATGATAAAACAAGGACAAAGAGGGATGATAAAGTTGCTTAGAGCAAAAAAAGACAGGATGTTGTGGAGAGCTGTGATCACTCATGTTGTGAAGGGATATAGAAGAATACATTTAATCAAATATGTAGCACTTTAATGTTTTTAAAATGTTAATTAAAATACCCTTACTTTATTATTATAAATTAAATATGGCTTAAGATATGTTAATTAAATTAAAATCTTACTTAAATATAAAATATTTTAATTTTTTCCTGCACACAAGCCAAAGATATGAATTTTTCCTACCCTAACAAAGTCTACCTTATGACTTTTCTTTTATGATTTTTCCTTATGCTGAAGAAACAAAATGAATCTATGCTATTTAGAAAGAAATTGATATGGATAAAAATCAGATCCATGTTTAGAACCCCCTTTTTTGTCACAAAATATTCTCTAATACTCAGTAATTCCTTGCATCTTAGTGGCTTTATTGCCTTGCTTGAGGTGAAATGATTAAAAAAATATATCTAAATTAAAAAAAGTAAAAGATTAAATTGCAAATATCTGTAAAGTTTCATTAGACTCAGAAGAAGAGACATTTAAGTAGTTATTGTATATTTTTTAAGTATATAAACAAACTGAAATTTTAAATGCTCTTATCTAGAAATGGTACCTCAAAATAAAAACACCATTTTTTTTTTCTTTTTTGCAAGCAACATCTGATTGTCACTATATTAATACCATAATATCTACCTACCTTTTTAGGCAAGGTATACCTCATATTCCAAGAAGAAAAAAAAAAAAAGAATAAATTCAGCTTTACCCACATTAAGAACTTCAAATGGTCAGAGAATAATAAAACACAAGTCATTCTCTGTCTTTCTTTAATCTTCATATTTTTTTTTCACTTTACTTTCACCTGCTTTTCTTTTCATTTTTTTCTAGCTTTTTTATTCTCTATGGAAGGCATGGTGGTGTAATGGTTAGTGGCTTGGATTGAGGAATCAGAGAGCCAAGTTCAAATTCCAGTCAAACCCATTACATTTTAAAACCCTTGGGAAAAGTATGAATCCTCCTCTTCTCTCCCCAGCTATGAGTAAATAGCAGGACAGACTGGGTTCTATAGCCTTGGGTGGTAACTGGTCAAGGAGAAGACAACTCTGAATTCAAAACCTGATCCTCCACAGGTTGAGGGTTGTGCAGTAGGCTAATGACCTACTCACTTAAAAACTTGCTTGTTACTGAAAAAAAAAAAAATGTGGCTCTGTTGCTCACAGAACTTAAAGGCATAATATATATAATATATTCTCTATGTTTTCCTCCCTCTTACTTTTCTCGATTCTATGTTTCATACGCTTATGCCATAGCTGACATTATACATTCATTATGCAGTTTATTATTTAGCCATATTAGCAGAGCACTTTTCATTATACATTTATTTTTATTAAATGCTTTTCAAGCAATTACCAGTCTGGATTAGGCTATATATCACATGTCACATGACCTCTCAATGAGTGAATTATAAAACATTTGGTATTTATCTAAAATTTCTCACCACCATTTGTTGAAACAAGTTTTAATTATTTTTAAGCACTTGTAGTTCTCTGCTGTTCTTCACCAAAGGACGTGATGTCATTAAGGAAGAACATTTATTTAAACAGGTAGAGGTTTAGGGTTTGGATTGATTTGCATGAGTAAATTTGCAACTGGATTTTTTCCAAACTACTTTGCCACATAAAATTTGAACAGTTGGAACAGAGCATTTGTCAGTGAATTATTTTTTTCTCTTCCATGCAATAGGTTTTAGCAATCTGGGCAGTTTTCCATTGCGGATACATTTCCTTCTTTCATATTATTTTTCCAGATCTCATAGTTTAACTTTTTTCTTTCGCTTTTTTTTTTTTAATCATTTCATCCTAAGGAAGGCAATAAAGTCACTAGGATGCAAGAGATTACAGATAAGATGGGCAAAAATAATTTTAAAAACTTTGAAACAGATGTGGCTTCTTGTAAATTTTCAGATATGTTTTTTTTTTTCTTTTTTCAATACCATCTATCATTTTCTGGACAAAGATGATCATGGCTCTCCACAAATTACTTTTCTTTTTTATCAGTGAATTGCCATTACTTTCACGGTAAGATAATAGAGTGGTTTCCAAATATCTTCTCCATGGTTTTAAATTCCAAATAGGCCTTCTCTTAGACTGGTTGCCATCCAAGGCTAGAGAGAGTAGTTTTTACTGATATTTAACATGCAGCTGTAAGGAGAAGAGCTGGATTCATGTTTTTCCTGTAGCTGGTAGTGTGGGGGGAAGAGTTGCATTCATGCCTTTCTTGAGACTGGCAGGGAGAAGAATTGGATTCATGCCTTTCTAATAGCTGGTGGGGGAAGAGTTGGATTCATACCTTTCCAGTAGCTGGTGTGGGGAAGAGCTGGATTCATGTCTTTCCAGTAGCTGGTGTGGGCAAAGAGCTGGATTCCATTTTTCCCACTGATAACAATGACAACACCCACACATTCTTTACCAAGTTTTATTCCCTTAAATAAACTGAAGTTGATAATTTTTCTCTAGATTTCCAGGATAAGCTGTTGGTGTTTTATGATGATTCATTTAGATTCAAAGAAAAAAAATTGCTCAAACAAGTATTTGGGTTGGGCGCCTATTGAAGTCATGAAAGAATCTTTTCTCCTAGAGCAGAATGTGCACTCACATGACTCAACTCTATCCAGAATTCATTTGGCATTGTCATGTGGTTTGATGAACCTTCCTCTTCCATGCTGGCTCAGGGCATCTTGGAAAATTTGAAAAGAACTTGTAACAATGATTTTTCCAGACATGATCCTACTATTTGACCAATAGCTGGAGGGATAGGTGGATTCATGCCTTTCCCAAGGGTATTTGTGTAAAAGTGAATGTAACAAACCTGTCTGGAATTTGAACTCAGCTCTCATTCCAAGCTGCTATCCATTACATCACCCACACATCCTCAAGCTTATAGAAACTGGTATTCCCAAGTGTTCACCCATCTAAGTACTGACCTAGCTTGACATTGCTTAACTTCAGTGATCAGTTGGGAACAGGTATTTCAATGTGATATTGCTATAGGTATTGAAGTACTATATTTTTTTTTGTTCTTACTGAGGAAATAATTTCTATTAGTGCTTTACCTCCTCATCAACAAAAGTCAAGTTTTATCTGGCTTGGTTACTGTGGATTATCACAAGCATAAAATAGAAGTCATTATATCCATGGAAAAGAGAAGTGTTGAGAGTCTACATAACTAGGCATTGGCTCAAAAAGTTTGTGTTAGAATAATAATTAACTAAAAAAGACATTGGCTAATATCAGTGAGAGAAGTAAAAAAATTATCAGATAATTTGTGACAGGTTTTAGATAATTGTAATATAAATAATAGTTTGGAATAATTCTTGTTATGTTAAAAAATCTCTTCATTCTCACAAGGTCTTCCCCCAAAACACACACTTATAAATGTTAATGTTCCACACTACTTCAAATAAAGGACGCCCCCCCTCCCCATCAATACTGAAAAGAGTGATAACAGCTGCTGGAACTGAGAAACCTGCTTTTCTGAAAAGTTGTTTTAAGAGTAGGATTTTATAAATTTCAATTGAAAACAGTACTGGCTGCTTTGTCAGTGAATGTCAAATGTTTCCTTATAAAGAAACACCTAATATTATCATTGCCATATATCAGATTATGTATTTTTATACTTTCATAGTGTTTGATCCCAGTTTGGGAGGGGTAACTATTTGCCTATAGCTAGGACTCTAACAGATGCTACCACTCTGAGTCAGGGTGGACCTGGGGAAAAAGAGCAAATAAGAAGTATTTCCAAGCTCATCAAAATTTCCAGTCAGAGACCTTGCTGCCAGATGTAGTTTATCCTCATACCCAGGACTGTCCTCCTTTGAATATTGTGGACTGGCACTACAGAATCACAAAGAAAGAACTGTACCAAATAACAGAAACCACATCACTTAAAGACTACCAACAGCAGAAACAACTAAAATGGATAGAACATGTAAATCAAAGACAAACATTCTTCACCATTTCAAATAAATGGTTAAGAAGGAAACCTCATCAGTGATGGAAAGAGTGATAACAGCTACTGGACTTGAAAAAACTGTTTTCCTGAAAAGTTGTTTTAAGCGGAAGATTTTATAAATTTCAACTAAAAACAGTACTGGCTGTTTGGTCATTAAAGTTTGAATTAAAAGTTCCTTGAATTTTTAAATGTTAAATTTGATTCTTTTTATATATGGGACCTTTATTTATAATACTGGAAGTGAAAGACATTTGGCAAGATGTTGACATTCCACACTACTTCAAATAAAAGGTTAGGAAGGAACCCCCTCTCCATCAATAATAGAAAGAGTGATAACAGCCAGTGGACTTGTGAAACCTGTTTTCTTGAAAAGTTGTTTTAAGAGGAAGATTTTATAAATTTCAACTGAAAACAGTACTGGCTGCTCAGTCAATAAATACCAATTGTTTCCTTGTAGGGAAATGGTTAATATTATTATTACCATATATCATATTCAATTTCCAAGGAGGAGAACTGTATCACTTGATTATTCTGCTAATACGTAGTCCCGACAAGGAAAAATTTTAGTAAATGGCAATATTTAACAGGTAAAAAGGTAAATTAATCCCTATTGCTCACTCTTAAGTATGAATCTAAATTACCATTTCCTATTTACTTTAGAGACATAATTGCTCCTTCAGTTCAATGATGCATACTATTTAAGTAAAACCAATTTTCTAATTACTATTTTGTCAGTAGTTGAATAAAATGAAAAAAATGTCAGTATTTACTATTTATGCAAAAGCTATTAAGTTTTCCATTAAAGTTTGGTTGATTTGTTTTAAATTTTATGGCTTATCAACCCTTTGTGGGTTATTTAAAGCTGAAATATATTTTTGGATTGTAAGAATAATTCTTTCTTTCTTTCTTTTTTTTTGCATATGAATATTGAATTAACAATTTTTTGGGAGATAACAATGATTTTTCTAGATACAATCAAACTATTTAGCCATAGCAGGACTCCAACAGCTATGGGTAACAAGATGAGGAAGCCTTCAGTGGCCAGATGACAAAACATTGTGATAAAAACAAGAAAGATGAAGAAACTGGTCTGAATGAATCAATGTATAATAGTAACAAGATGAGGAAGGCTGCATGAAAAACATTGAAAAAACAAGAAAGATGAAGAAACTGGTCTGAATGAATCAATGTATAATAGTAACAAGATGAGGAAGAGCAAGGCCAGATGACAAAACATTGTGTCCAAGATGGAAAAATGAATCAATTATAATAGTAACAAGATGAAATGACAAAACATTGTGATAAAAAGAAGAAAAATGAAGAAATTAGTTTGAATGAATATGAATATTCAAAATTGGAACTACTTTTATTGATTGCTTTTATTGATTGTTGTAAGATGGTAATTCTCAAAATGGAGGAATTATTTGGCTCCCAGGAGAGGGATTTTAAATCTCAAATGGGAAATTTTAGCCATGAAATGAATGTGGCATTAAATTAAATGGGTGTTTTATGATCCATTGAAATAAGGATTTTTTTCATTTGATTGCCATTAATGAAGCAATTTGGTTATATAAATTGTTTTAGTAATTAACACTTTAAAAGTACAATAGTAAAAAATTACTTGATAACATTTTGAAATGGAGAAGGGATTGCAAAAAGGTGGAATGTGTGACCTTGGGACTGTGAAAATGATTGGCTATAAAGCATTTCAAAAGATTCTTTTCTTTTGAAATGTTTTCCCACAATCTCCTCATCTTTGCCCCCTAGCTTAAAGCACCTGACCCAACATTTAAAATATAACTGACAAATATTGCTTCCTCTCACATGATTTTTAAGGCTTATCTGCTCAAGCCATGCAAATGCAGAATGTGGCTGGTTGGTCCTCCTGAGGTGGGAGATAATAATTAATCTTGTATGAAGGCAGCCACATTTATACATTTGAAGAATGTACAAATATATTGCTGCAATAAAAAAACAATAATAAGATGGAATAAAACTAGTCAGAATAATGATGAAGAATGTATAGCCCAAAGTATTAGGGATGAGGTAAAAGTAACAATAATATTGAGTAAAAGTAGTCATAAGGTAATAGTAATAATAAAAAGTGGATTGACCCAGGGTGTTGTGATAAAAATGCCAATGGTAATATTAGCCATTTCTTTATAAGGAAACATTTGACATCCATTGACCAAGCAGCCAGTGCAACTTTCAGTTGGAATTTATACAATCTTTTTCTTTTAAACAATTTTTCAGGAAAATAGCTTTTTCAAGTCCACTAGTTGTTATAGCTCTTTCCAGTATTCATAGGGACTTCCTTCTTGACCTTTTGTTTGAAATAGTGTAGAATTTCAACATCTTATTTTCTCCTTTCTAGTTCCTATATGATGACTGAAGTTAAGCAATGTTGAGCCTGGTCAGTACCTAGATGGATGACCACTTGGGAATACCAGGTTCTGTAAACTTTGATGTGTGGGTATTGTAATGGATAATGGCTCAGAATTGTTAATTTAGAGAGCTGAGTTCCAATTCCAGTTAGGTTTGTTATATTCAATTACACACAAATACCCCCAGGAAAAGTATGAATCTGCCTCTTGTTACCCCAGTTATGGTTTAATTATTAAGACTTGCATCACTAAATCATTATTATCTCCTATCCAACCAACAAAAAAATTCTTACAATCTAAAAAAATATTTTCTGGCTTTAAATAACCTGAAAAAGGTTTAGAAATTGTAAAAAAAAAAAATATTTTCTGTTCAGGTTACATGTGATATCCATTTTAGTTGCTGCTATTGAAATTCCTTGAGTGAAGTGGTTTCTGTTATTTGATACAGTTCTTTTTTTGGTGATTCTGTAGCACCAGTCCACAAGGTTCAAAGAAGGATAGTTCTCACTAAAACCAACAGGTTTCCTTAGCTCAAAACCATTTTTAACCATCAATCTGAGAAAGCTGACAGTTGAGATATTTCTGAATGAAGAAACTGGTCTGAATGAATCAATGTCTAATAGTAACAAGATGAGGAAGGCTGCAGTATCCCGAGGACAAAACATTGCGATAAAAACAAGAAAGATGAAGAAACTGGTCTGAATGAATCAATGTATAATAGTAACAAGATAATGAATAATGGATTGAACAAGAGTGTTGCATGATAGAATAAAACTAGTCATAAAATTCTTATACCAGAAATTACATCTAAAAATGTTAAAATAAAGAGCTAACTCAAGCATGCTTTTTATACCTGGAGCAAATGTTTTAATTGCTTGGATTGTGCAGTCAGGTTCTACTGCCTACTTACAAAATCTGTGTTATCAGTGGGGAACAAATATCTAATATTGTTATTATTGAGTGTATTTTTTATTTTTTTCGAGGGTTACTCCAAAAGTAATGTCTCCTATTTTATTATGGCGGCCATGTGGCAGTCTCATTGATAACCTATGATTTGTTGCTGCTGAGCAGTAGTCTGGAAAAATTATCAGACATGAAAGTCTATACAAAGCAGAGGTGTAACATTGAATTCCTTCATTCAGAAAAAATTGTAGCCATTGACAATAATCAACACTTGATGACAATTTAGAGACCAAACAGTGAATGTGAGCATAGTTATATGGTGGGAAATATATTTCTGATATGGTAATAGAAATATGTGTGAAAAAGTTGGCTTCCTCCATAGGTGCAGAGTTGTATGCAATATACAGACCCTTGTACATCACTGGAGAAAATACACAGCCAATGGTGGAGACTATATGGAAAAAGATTGTTTTGTCATTGGAAACTTACTTTATTCTCTGGTGTTAGTATGATTCTTGTATTTGTAGTTTCTGTGAAAATACATTGGAAGCATGACTGAGTTTAATAATTGCTCAACACAGCAGGAGATCCAGAAGTCATTTCTTGGTTTTTATCAAAAACTTGCATCAGTACATTGTAAAGTTTTCAGTCTGATCAAGAAAGGATTAATGAAAAAAATATTTGCTCAGATTTTATTAACTGGGTCTGTCTCAAAACTTTTCAGTGCCCCTTCTAAAC